ACACAGGGGAGGGTAACTATAACCAGGAAGCGTGCTGGAGCTCAAATCCTGTATTAGCGCCAAGCAGCTCTCACACCTAAATTGAACCTGGTCTTTCAGGAGAAAAGTTCAACAGCCACTTCGTGAGCAAACACTGTGCTAAATATAGCACCAAAACTGTCATGGACTCTTTAACAGTTTTCTGTACACATGAAAAAATACTCAGCCATCACTTGTCTCTGAGGAAGTTCACGAAGTTCATGAATAAGATGCACAGGATAACACTCCAAGTTTAAAATTGGGGAGGTGCGTAACGGCCAGGAATCTGGGTAAAGAGGCAAAAGGGAGATTTTTAAAGGTATTTATAGTTAAGTATCCAGTCTTACGATAAGACAGGGCTGCCCAGTGAAACCAAGAACCACAAGAAGGCAAATCTCACCTCGGCCAGCATACGGTCAGAGGATGGAGCCTGTGGCCACCGTCAGAGCCCCTCTCTGGTGCCATCCCGTAGGGACTGATTTGGCAATCTCTAGAGTCAAGTGGAAGTTTGCAGCCTGTCTGCATGCTCCAGTTTCCCCTGAGCCCTAGGCTACCCTAGGCGGAGAACGTCCTGAGTTCACTGGCCCACACCCCAGAGCGCAAAGCCAACTGCCTACCTCCTAATAGAGAGATTTAAGGAACCCACAGGAGCAGATCCACCCACTCGGCTACAGAGTTAAGCCGATTATACCTGGGTGGGATGGTGTGCCAGTGACGGCTGGGATGGCCAGGCCCACCCAGTACCTGAATGAATTGTTCCCTCCTCTGATTTAACCTCAAGGAGTTGGGACCAACAACACCAGGGAGGGAAGCTGCAAATTCAAACTGACAAGGGCTGCAAGTTACTGTAGCAGCTTCTATACAGATGTGAGGGTTTCCCTCTGAAAGGTACCCAAACCCATGAGGTGGATGCCTGTTCCATCCATGTTTACAACCACGGTCCTTACACTGCATGGTGAGGTTCTCATACTTGACCCCTTCCTTGTGCCTATCCTGTGAAAGCAAACAGTCCAACGACTATAGCTAAAGGTCAAGCCACGGAACGTTCTGGATCTGGATGGGCAACTGAAGGTGGTGTCTGTAGACTTTTAACACAGCTCAGCAGTGAGAACCCCAACTAGCCAGTCAGATCTGGCTTGCCATGTAGGCTTTCTGCCCAGTCAGTCACCTGCCTCCCCAAATGCTGCACCTGTGTGTGGTACATGCCCATGTGTGTGCATGTGTGCGTGCATGCCTGGGTCTCCATAGGAATACTGGTCCCCATTACCCTACATGACACTGTTCAGAGCTGACCTGATGCCTGGCACAGAAACTGCAATTGTTTCCAAAATAAGTGATTCCATTTTTGTCAATTTTTATTGACATGGGGGGGGCAGAACTGCGGGAAGGGGGGAATCCTAAGGGATTTTGTCAGTTTTGTTAATAAGTAATAGTTACATGTGTATGAGGTATGGGTGGGGCGTGTTGTTGGAGGTGTGCTTGCTCTTTCAGAGGTTAGAGCAGGGAGGTCGGTGTCTCTATTGCATTGACACCGGCTCTCCCACTGACCTGCGAGTTCGGTTTTTCAGGTAGGCAGGCTGACAAGATCTGCCTGTCTCTGCCCGCAATGCTTGCATTACATACAAGCGCCCGAGGCCATGGCTGGGTCTGATGTTTACACTGGTGCTGGGAATTCAAGTGCCAGTCCTTATTGCTTACATAGCACTCCCATACACCGTGCCATGCCATGCTCCCTCAGGTCCTTAAACAATAGTTCTAAGGACTGCGGGTGTAACGCGGTGGTGGGGCACTTGCCTAAGCAAACATCTGGGGCAATGGAACCAATTGCCCAATGGTGATTTACAATGAAAATGCCCGTGCCATGTTTGGATGTCCAGGATGCTCTGGTTCACACAGAATGTGCTCCTGAACTGGCAATCATACAGCCAAGGCCAATGCTCAACTAATGGAAAATGGTGAGTCTAGTCTGTCATCCCAGGCCACCAAAGCTACAGCAGGACGTAGGGCTGAGGTCGGGACAAAGTTAGCAGTCCCACCTTCCAACTGGGAAGGGTGGCCACTGAGCCATGGCTGGCGGCATCCTCTCACACCTCAAATCCATTTTGTTGTTGTTACATTTTGTCTGAGATGGGCGATGGGGTTGTTTGTTACTCTGTGGCCCTGGCTAGCCTTGAGCTTGTGGCGGCCGTCCTACCTCAACTTCCCTACCTATTTCTTTCTTCTTTTTACCAGGCAGCCCAGCTTGTCCTGCACTCTCCACACCCAGGGGATGGTGTTCAAGTCTTGCTGCATACACCGGCAGTCCCACAGAGGCAGCAAACCCATCACTTCCGTGTTTTTTTTTTTTTTTTTTTGGTTCCCCTCAGCATTTGGTCTTCGTCCTTGGCTTATGACACAGGGACTGTGGCCGTGATAGTCTGCTCTGCTCTCTTCAGGACTTGAGCAGCCAGTCTTACCAGTTCAAACCAAAGGTGTTGGTTTGATTTGGCTCGCTGAAGCATTAACCTGGTCCTGACAAGGAAGAACCATGCCCTCCGTATGTTGTCATCCCTGGTGACAGTCCATGGGGAGCAGCTTAGCCCCATCCCTTGCTTTGCCTCAGTACTAGAGAGCGCACATCTCGAGAAAGACTTACGGAGCTCTGTTTTGAAAATCTCAAGCCAGGCATGCTGGCACAATAATCACCACCATTGCCCCAGCATTTGTAGAGGTGAGGGTAGAGGGATCAGGATTCAAAGCCACTGCCATCTATATAGGAAGTTCCCTGCTCAGCCTGGGCTATTGATAACCTTGTTTGAAAGCCAACTGATGGGGAAGCTCTGTTAACCAATCACATCCAATTAAGGCGTGGCTACCTGGACCGCAGGAAGAAAAACTGAGAGGGACCAGGTGCTCTCTCTGGGCAATTCCCGCCGGACACAGAGGAAGTCGGACTCCCCATTCCTGTGGTCTGAGTTTCCCTTTACAACATAGTGAGTCTGTCTCATAAAGCAAAACAACACCCAAAGCACTTTCAGAACAGCAGCAATTTCCCCAAGATCCTACTTTGTATGATAGAAAAAAAAAAGCATTCACAGGAGTTGATTCCGCCGCCCCCCCCGTCACTCAGTGAGCGTCTCCCACCTCAGTCCTCTTCTGCCTCCTGCTCACACCACATTTATGCCACAGCACCCAAACATTCGCTGCATGCTTTACACCGTTCGCTTGTTCAAACGTGGTAATTAACGGAAAGAAACTCCAATGCAAAACATTTTAATAAGTTGTCGAATATACAGTTATTAGGATTATCTAAATATCACTTATAAAAATTGGCATATCACATTAAATGACTCCAGAGACAAAGTGACGACCCTTGTACCCCAAGGAGAGCCTGTCAAGGGTACAAATTACAAACACTGAGGAGGAGCACTAGAGACACTGAGACATCTACACCCAAGCACAGCAATACATTCATTCATCGAGTATGGGAGGGCTGCGCTGTCGCCTGCAGCTACTGTGGGCACAGCCTGGGCGCACCTTTCCATGCTTTTGTACATCTTCCAGTACAGCTCCCACAGCCAAGTGTCTACGGATGCCTTTCTCCTCATCTCCAGGGGATTGCAGACTCTACCTTCAATAATTAAACTGTTAATCCTGGAAGTGGACCCCAGGCCAAAGTGTAGCTACAATGACACGGTTTTTAAAATAATAACAATGATAAAAAAAATTCGACTTTCTATTGACTTAATGGTACGAATCATGGCTGTTATTAATAGAAGCTAACAAAACAGGTTGGAAGACTTTCAATATTGCCAGCAAAGATGTGAACTCCTTCTCAAAATATCAGTATTTTATGTGATAATGTAACTACTCTGAAGTGAAGAAGGAACTTCATCTATCCACTGACGAATTTGAAATACTGGCGATTTAGAAATCTGAGGTCTAAGATACTCGCACTGGTAAGGGGCGACCGCAGCAACACTATGCTAGTATTGTTCTGGAGGCAAAGCCAGACATCGCCTTCCAAGTAAAAGGTTGTTTTATGCCATCTCTAACTGCCACCGGCTGGAGAGCCAAATGGGGGCCACACTTGTAACTTCACCTATGTTCGCTTGGTCTCAGCCCAAAAGTCAAAAAAATTATCAGCCTCGTTTGTGACTCAGCACTCACCACATAATCTTCACCCAAGCACTAGCCGCAGCAGCTTTCAGTGAAGGCGTCTGTGCATCTCTGTGCATCTCTGCGCATCTCTGAGTCCTGAGCGGCCACGCTATCCAGACAGGACGCTGGAAATGGTGAGTCTCGACGGGCTCACGGATGTGTACTTGAGAGCGGCTTGACTGGCGCACCTTGGTGAAGGGATCTGAGTGACCCGAGGGCCAGGCCTCCAGAAACCACCCTGGGGGTCACCGCGTTCTAAAAGGACTCTCGATGCTGGGGGGAAACAAAGGGCAACCGCAGCTACAAATGTGCAAAAATCAAGGCCGGGGTCTGGAGGAGAGACATTAAACAGCCGCTTAGACAAAGCAGGTTTAAATAGCAGACCTCGAGTGGTGTGGCACTAACAGTCAGCCTCGGCACCTGGCACCTCACAGTCCAGCCCTCCCTCCTGCCTCACATTCCAAACTCCAAAATCAATGAGAAAATTGCAACTGAATTATGGAAATTCATTTCCCCCCAAATGTTATAAATTTAATAGTTCCTAGGCCTGACCGTAAGAGCATCGCGGAGAGATCACGAACCATGAAAGGACAGTGTCATTACTGAATTACATCAACATTCGGAAACCAGTTCTTACTCAGCTGAGTGGCCAGTGGGGCCACAGTAGCAACCTGTAGTGTGCGCAGGCAGAGTGCACAGTCCCCTTCAGACACACAGAGCAAAGCATCCCAGACTATTTAACACCACACCTATCAGAATCACTTACACACGTTTCCAAAACTCTCTTGAAAGACTATTTAAATATTTAACAACAAGTATAATTTATGCAACTTCCATCCATATTAAAATAATTAATGTAAATACTTTATTATAAAACTATTTTACAATTTAAACTTTTATTTGAGAAACATATTCACATCCACAATTTCTTAAAAGTCCTTTCCATGAGTGTACCCCATAAGAAATACACTAAAACCATGTTGGGGGGCGGGGGGTGGGGGCTAGCATTTCCATCAGCCCAAGCCATCTCCTCATTTGCTTAGTTCTTAAATATCTCTGTGTTCACATTCGCTTGGCTAGTGATGGATGCCTCTTCCCCAAAGTGGCAAATCTCAGCATCATCTTACAAGACAGGACAGACTAGAAAACACCACAGGTTGGTTACATAAACACGCTGATCACATCATCGAAAAGCATAATCGAAAAGTAACATAAAGAGGGCAACAGTGGTAAAATGTAAACAAGAAGAATTGAATGTTAATCCCTTCCCTGAAAAGCAGAGATAAGAATCGCTTCCTGTTTTATTCAGACAAAACCGGAAGGCAGGATGCTGGCTTCCAAAATGCCTGCAACAGCTGTAGATGAAGGACCTGACTAAGCTAAGATGTGCCCAACGCTTTGAGTACTTGAGTTGACTTATTCATCGTACATAGCCTGGCACCTTCCCAAATTGCCTCTTAAGATTCAAAATAGTGTTCACCAGACGAGCTTGAGAGTTATGAAATCATATCCAAATAACAAGTCAACATCGCAGGAAAAAAGGTAAAACTCAAAGTTTTCTAGTAATTATCGCTTGGAACTCACGCCCACAGAATGAAAGAAACAAAACCCTCTCTCTCCAGCCAGTACACGCTTGGGCAGAGAACACGAAGGCCTTGTGGGGACACCTGCAGCCTCCTGGGTGGGAACTCACAGAAGCACACAGGCCCCAGTCGCTCTGGCTAACGACCGTGTGTTTCAGGCTCATGCTTGGGCATCGACATTTGCAAACGGTCCTTGGATGGGGTCAGGAGAGTAAGAGGAACTTAAAATCTCCTCCACATTAAAGAAAATGGTTGTAGGGTGTAAAAATTTTATTTGCAATTCTGAAGGAAAAGTTTTTTTTAAAAAAAAAAAAAAGTCAAGTCATAACTCAAAACTATTTTCCAGAAATGACAAGCCGTTCAATTATTTTAACCCATCAGTGAGTCAAAGTGCAAAGCACTGAGAGGAAAACGATTTGCAAATTTAATCTCAATTTAAAAAAAATCTTACTGATAATTAGTTAATTTGAAAAAGGTGGTAGGTGTAAACTAAATATAACACTTACAAATCTATTTTTTCAAGGAAAAGTTGCCTGTCCTTGTTCTGGGTGAGAATAAATTATGATTTCTCTGTTAGACGCCGTGGGCGTGGAACCGAGACAGGATTCCGGCCTATAGCAGCCACGGTTTGGTCACTGCTTAACCAGATTCTGAGAAAGGTGTTTTACGCTAAGGCTCGAAAGTAAATAGGGATACATTTAAAAAAAAAAACAAAAAAAAAAAACGGATTTTTAAAAATGGAAAAGACTCAAAAATTATTTAAAGAAGAAATAAACCAAATTTCCACCAAGCACCTCTCCGAGGCCTCACATCGGTAATAAAAAGCCCCACCCTTTATGAGAGTAATTTGTTCTTTACAAACAATCTCTCTTCTCCTGACCCCAGGGAGGAAATATTTGTGCTTCAAGACCGCTGCTGCTGCTGCCGCCGCAGGCCATGAGCCTCTCTCACCCTTCCCTGTGAAGCAGCCCTGAGCAGGGAGGAGCTGTGGGGAACCCTGCAGGTGGACCACGCCCACTGAAGCACCTTTCCTGGGCAGCTCACACAGGGAGCCCACACAGCCCCAGCTGCCCTGTGAAATGTTCTCCAGTTTTAGGGAGCTCGGGCACACTGGTCCTGATGAAAACAACCTGTGCCTTCCAGATCTTACTGGGACGGCCTGACAGCGCCACAGTTTAGACACGGCTCACCGGCAGGGTTGGGTGGACAGGTCCCTTGGTGATGGGCTACACAAAGTGACGTGAATCTGAATGACTTTGCCAGAGTGGTCCGGCTGTCTACTCCCTGTCCTGCACGTTCCCGGCTCGACATTCCTGTTTCTTTAGTCTTCATAGTTTTCTCATGAACAAATTAGTATTCCTGAGTAAGAATATAAAAAAGTTAACCTTCTACCAAAAGTATAAAGACAAATAGAACGCTGACTCACAATACAAACTTTTTACAGAGCATTACAGGTGCACAGCTAATGCCACGGTGACGGGCCACTCCTTCACAGACCGCAGCAAGACTCAACTGTCTAAAATACTCCGCAGGACAGCAATCAAATGCTTCAGACCGTAAACATAGCCCTCATCGACGGTGTTGCTAGGGAACACGTGAGCAAAGTCTATCATCCGCACTTCTACTTCTGCCGTCTCCGGACGCCCCGCAGGAAGGTGGTAGAACACTTTTTCCAGTTGGGACAGCACATTTCCGTTCAGATGCTCCTGGGACATGCTTTTCCACCCGTTGTCTTGCTCCAGAGTCTCAACTTTCAGTGAAGTCTGACTGTGGTGCTTTTTGGAGTACAGCTTTCTGTGCCTCGCGTACACTTTGGATAAACTTTTGCCTACCGATGTCCCGTTGGCCGGGGAGCTAAACAGGTGAAAGTTGTTATTGCATTCCAGGACGTCTGCGTCCGACAGGTGGCCTTTGGAGAGAAACTTCCCGGCCAAAGTTCTCTCGTTGGATTTTGTAGTAGCTGGCTGAGATGAACCTTCATAAACAAACAGTAATGAGCTTGCATAAAAGTTAAGCTGCTTCTGATCTTCAAACCATTGGAGAATCTTCTCAACCTTCTGAATACTGGCAGCAATCGCGTCTTTTCTTAAACAGAAGCCATTGTGGAAAAACTTGGAGACACCTGTAAACGAAATTCATCAGAGATAGGGTCAAACTGTGCCTCTGTCACTTGTAGTGAGTGCAGAATATTCTTTTACACCATGTGAATATATGCCACTGTGATTGGTCTAATAAGAATCTGACTCGTCAATAACGGACAGGATAATGTTAGGCGGGAGAACCAGACTAAGAACACTGGGAAGAAGAAGGGCAGAGTGAGGAGTCCCCACTCAGGCATGGAGGGGAAACAGGAGGTATAAGATAAAGGAGAGGTAATGCCACATGGAAGAATGTAGATTAATATAAATGAGTTAATTTAAGTTCTAAGAGTTAGCTGGTAACAAGCCTGAGCTATTGGCCAGGCACTTATAATTAAGTCTCTGGGTGTTTATTTTGGAGCCAGTGGTCCCAACAAAAACTTCAGCTACAAGTAAGCTCATTAGCAGATAAAATTCTTCACTTTGTCACACCATGCCTTCTAGTTAATCAAATCATTAACTATACAGTGAAACTTAAATCTCTACATAGAAACTTAGATCAGTGCTCTGATGAAGAACTCATAATAAAGCTCGGCTGTGGTGGTCCATGCCTTTAATCTCAGCACTCAGGAAACAGAGGCAGGCAGACCTCTGAGTTTGAGGTCAACCTCATCTACAAAGTAAGTTCCAGGACATCAAGAACTAAACAGAGAAACTCTATCTTGAAAAAAATAAAACAAAACAAAACAAAAATTACTTAAATGATACCAATGTCAAAGTATAATCCCTAAGGCAAACATTCACTGCAGGTAGACAGGTACTCTAGTTCTTGCTATGAATGGCATTGACATTGAGAAGGAACTCGAAGGCCTGGAGTGCAGGCCTGTGCCAGCAATGCAGAAGGCTGAGGCAGGAAGATCACATGTTCAAGGCCTGCTGTGGGGCTCACAACCATCTACAACTCCAGTCCTGGGGGATCCGGTCCCTCTTCTGGCCTCCATGGGCACCAATATATATATATAAAATAAGAATAAATCTTAAAACTCTTAAATTATACATGGGAATAATATTAATCATTATTTAACCTTAATGTTTAATCATACTTGGGAATGTACAGGTTAGGCAACTTGCTTTTATGTAACTTGTTCCCCCACTATACGATGCAAACTGTTGGGAAATGAAATCAATCATCAGGGAAATGCAAATCAAAACTACTGTAGATGTCATCCTACACCAATGAAATGCCAAGATCAATAAAACAAGCAACAGCTCATGCTGTCAAGGATGTGGGAAAAGAGGAACATTCATTCATTGCTGGTGGGAGTGCAAGCTTGTACAGCCACTATGGAAATCAGTGTGTGGCAGCAGATCCTCGGGAAGCCAGGAATAGATACACATCAAGATCCAACTATACCACTCTTGGGCATGTACCCAAAAAAGGCTTCATCCTACTACAGAGACACTTGTCCAACCATGTTCACTGCTGCTCTATTCATAACAGCCAGAAACTGGAAACAACCTGAAGGTCTGTCAACAGATGAATGGATAAAGAAAATGTAGCAAATTACAAAATTGAGTACAACTGAGCTGTTAAAAAAAAAGTTACATTTGCATTACATTTGCAGGTAAATGGATGGAGCTAGAAAAAAAAATCCTCAGTGAGGTAACCCAGAACCAAAAGAGACAAATATGGTATGCTTTCATTTATATGTGGAGGTTAGCTGCTAACTCTTCAATAAGTAAGCAGTAATCCATAACCACAGGGGTTAAGAGTACAGTAAGGGACTAGGCAGGAGGTTGGATCTCCCTAGGAAGGAGAAAACAGGATAATTATGGACAGGCGGGGTAGTAGTTTAAATGAGAATGGCCTTTCATAGGGTCAGAGATTTGAATGCTTGGTTACCAGGGAGTAGTACTAAATAGAAAGATTAGGAGGTGTGACCTTGTTAGAGTAGGTGCAGTCCCCTAGGAGGAAGTATGCCACTTTGGATGGGCTTTGAGGTTTCAATGGCCCAAGCCAGGCCCTGTGGCTCTCTCTTCCTGCTGCCTTCAGATCTGAGGTAGAACTCCCAGTCTGGCTGCATGTTGCCAAGCTCCCCACCCTGATGATCATGGACCAAACCTCTGAGACTGTCAGCAAGCCCCAGTTAAATGCTTTCCTTCATAAGGTTGCCATGGTCATGATGTCTCTTCACACAACAGAACACTGATTAAGATGGGGGTGAATGGAACAGAAGGATCAAATGGGGAGGAGGAGGATGGAGGAGTGAAAGATAGGGAACCTGGGAAGGGACAGCAAAAAGTAGGGGCCATCTGAAGGGTCCATATGGAAACCTAATACAGCAGAAGCTTCTTAAAATATATCCATATTTTGAAGGTGACCTAAATGGAATCACCAAATAATGGGGAGAGAAAGCCCCAGATGGACATCTCTCGCCAAATGAAGCATCCTGTTGAAGGAATGGTGTCAAAGGAATGGACCACATCTAATTGAGTTGCTGGCTAAAGGGACTGCAATGGTAAAAATAAAACAGTGCTGTTTCCCGAGGGGTGAAACGCTGCAGGTCCCTGAGTGGTGGCAGTGAGCAGCGGGCTCGAGACCACAGCAGGCCACAAAGCCAGCCGGTTCAGGCAGGGAGCCCCGGTTCCAGGCAGGGAGCCCCGAGTGGCCCGTGGGCCATGAGGACCAATGGGTTGTAGGCAGGGAGCCTAAACAAGGAGCAGCGTGGTGGGTGGGAGACTGAGATGGAGCAACCAGTCCTACGAGGATCCGCAGCTACGGCGGGTGAGAGACAGATGGATAGGCATGCCATGCAAAGTGAGGTTGGATATTACTCAGTGGGTTATGGGGGGGAGGGGAAATAGGGAAGGGGAGAAGGCAGAAGAACAGAGAGAGAGAGACAGAGAGAGAGGAGGGGGAAGAGGAGAGGAGCCACAGCAGCAGCTACCTTTTTGGGAGAGAGATGGAAAGGGAGGGCTCAGTCTGGAAGCTGAAGATCAGCTTGCCAGGGTAGACAGATGGGGGAGGAAGTGGGCATGGCTTGTCTCTTAAAGGGACAGATCAGACCATTACAGGGACCCCCATGGGAACCCCCAAGCAACCCAGCAGTTGCCAAGGCTCTTGGTTGCTACCCACAAACTTATGGTAAGGCCCTATTACCCCCAAGCAACCCAGCAGTTGCCAAGGCTCTTGGTTGCTACCCACAAACTTATGGTAAGGCCCTATTGTTGAAGAACCTACACAACCCATTGAGCATGGAGAAGTCAAGCTACCTCCCTAGAGCCTTCACCCCTAAGGACTAGTGCTCATGGTACAGGAAGGTGCTTGGCACACTACCAAAGGAGACACACTACACTGAACGGAAGCAGAATAAAGGCTTCTTCCTGGGTGGGTTCTCTTAGGGATCGTATCACAGAAGTAGGAAGCAAGTGAGCCAGCAAGCTCACAAGTTCGACACTAATGAAGGTGTAAAGGAAGGGACACTCACAACTCACACGGGTATATTAGGGTTCAGGGATGATGGTGAACCTACTTCTGTCTATTTAGGTTTCCTTTTTAAAGTTTATGAGTTGAATCGTTATTCTACAGGAGAATTATGTGCGATCAGACGCATCTTGCTGACACATTAGCAAAGCATTCATTCCCAGGGCTCACCTTCCTTTAACGTCTCTTTTGTTAAGCTTCTTCCATAGTGCTGGTTCTGTGTCTCGTAGCTGTCAGAATGAACATGATAAACCTGTCAAAATAAAAGAGCAGCGAACATTCAAACACTCATAGGGGTGCCCTTGGCCATGTGGGGTGAATTCACAGCTAGATACAAAATCCTTCATTTGGATGTGAAGAGAACCATATTGTCACATGAACAGGCCTAAAAGAGCACCCAGCATTTAGGCGCCCCACTTCTGAAAAGCTGCTAAGAGTAACATAGATTTTCAATATGATAGAATTATCTATTTCATTTCATCAAAATTAATCACAAATTTACAGGGCCAAGCTGAGAGCATTTCCTAATATTGCAACTTCTGCTGAGTTCAGCAACACTGGCCTCAACATGGGAAGTGGAAGCAGAAGGTCAGGAGATCAAGGTCGTCCTACACAGCAAGTCTGAAGCAAAGGACTACATGAAACTCTGCCACAGAAAAAGGAGTTAAAGTGGAGAGGAGTCGGAATACAACACAGTGATCCTTTCCCAGCATGCAATCCGCCCTGGGTTCACTCTCCAGCACCAATATGAGCAGGTGTGGTTGCACACGCCTGTGATACCAGCACTTGGTATTAGGTAGAGGCAAGAGGATCAGAAGTTCAAGGTGAGCTCACCCCCACAGCAAAGATGCCAGGCTGAACTACAAAGAGATGCCGTCTTCAAAAAACAAAAACAAAAGCTTCCAAAAAATATGTTTTTGAAATGATGTCTTTTATTATTGACATCTAAAATTATTTTAGAGTCAAGCAGATGGCAGTGGCGCACACCTTTAGTTTCAGCACTCAGGAGGCAGAGGCAGGTGAATATCCGAGTTCCAAGCCAGCCTGGTCTACAGAGCAAGTTCTGGACGCTCAGGGCCACACAGAGAAACCCTGTCTTGAAAACCCAAATAAATAAATAAATAAATAAATATGAAATGAAAAAAGATTAAAATTATTCTCGAGTTATTAACAAATGCAAACAGTTGAAAAGGAAATGAGCTGAAGACATGTTTCAGCCTTGAGAGCTTGTCCAGAAGCCCACGTGGAACTCTTTAATCCCAGCACTCAGGAGGCAGAGGCAGGAAGATCTCTGTGAGTTCGAGGCCAGCCTGGTCTACAGAGGAAACCCCTATCCCGGGGGGTGGGGAAACAAGTATCAATGAAAATAATTTTACAATGGGGGTCACCACCACATAAGGAACTGTTTACAGGCTCGCAGCTTTAGGAAGGTTGGGAACCACTGGTCTAAGACATTATCAAGTGGCTGGCTAGGAGCAAAGCCCCCCCACCACCACTGCTCTAAGAAAGCAAGCAAGAAACAAACAAATAGTAATCACATATGCTATTCAGAAAATGGTATCTGAAGTTGCTCTTTCTTTTCCTTTGTTTGTTTGTTGATTTTTTTGAGGTGGGGTTTCTCTGTGTACCCTTAAACTCACAGAGATTCACCTGCTTCTTCTTCCTAGGATTAAAGATCACTATTCAGTCGGCTCCGCCATCAAAGCTGTAGGCTCACATCAGCCAGCACTCCACCACACAGACGTGTGCCAGGACACACTAAACAGTGGCAGAACAAGCAGACCCACGGCTCACTGTAACACGGTGGTAATAGCAAAGTCCAGAAACAACCGTGGAGCCACTGAAAGGAGCATGTGCGATTATGGTATGATAATACACATCACTGAGACCTCGAGATATGTTAAATAGGAAAACAATCAAGACGTGGACATTTTGTGACTAACGAGAGAGCTATGTCATAGCAATGGAATGACTTCACACAGGGAAAGAACTGCTTTGGTTTTCAAGGGGAAACAGTTCAATCCGCAACACAACAGCCTCGCATGGTGAACAATGCTCAGAACAAAGAAAGAAGCTGAAGAATGAGAGAATCCATAGTAGAATGTTTGAGAGCTGGAAGGGAAGGAAAGTCAGGGGTCACTGGGGAGAGCTCCTTTTAGGCTGAGAACTCTACCTCAGAGCAGGTAAGAAAAGACCGCAGAGCATGTGCGGGCTCAGGAGAGAACTTTGCTGAGATGGTTCCCTCTTTCGACCTTACATGAGTCCTGGGGACCAAACAAGTCGGCAGGCTCTCAGGGCTCCTCTACCCAGTGAGCCGTTCTGCTGGCCGTTTTGTCGGTTTTTATATGCTCGTGTTCACTGTAGCTTTCTAAAATGAAAAACCGCTTGACCAATTCTTCGACTTTATGGATCAAAGTATCAAGTCCAGTGTGGGATTTGCTTTGCTGGCGCTGGCTCGTTAGTGGTCTCCGACAAACTCCCTCCCAAATCATCAGGCACAGCTAGACACACTATTGGTTTAGAGGACCACATGCTACATTACTTCCCAGCTGTGGTGACCTCTGCAGAATGGCTTCAACAATCCTTCCTTCCTATCGTACACACTCTGGCTCAGCGGTTAAGAGCACCACCTGCTCTTCCAAAGGTCCTGAGTTCCAAGTCCTAGCAACCACATGGTGGCTCACAGAACTAAAAAAAAAAAAAAAAATTGTGTTGTGGCATCGGAGGTCGGAAGCGACCATCTGATAGCCCTACAAAATGACAGCAAGTCGCTCCTGCCTCTCAAGCTCCTGCTCCGGCCCCTCAGAATGAGGTCCCAGGCCACAGATGCCCACGTTAACCTTCTACCAGATGGCAAACGGACAAAGGTCCAGACCACGAGACACCCAAGCAGCCCCAGCCACCTGATGACACCAACCCCATATCTGTCCTGAGATGAACAGTACACACACATATCAAAGCATAAATGAGATTCTTATGGATCAGCTAAAATTAAAAAATATAATGCTGACTCACAGAACTATGTGCAAATGAAAAAGTGTTTTGGATAGAAATATGAAATAATATGGATTTTTTTTCTAGTTAGAAAATAGTTCTTTTCCACAGCACTTGGGAGGCAGAGGCAGGTGAATCTCTTAAGTTCAAGGCCAGAGCCTGGTCTACAGAGCAAGTTACAGGACAGCCAGGGCCACACAGTGATGCCTGTTTAAAAAAAAAAAACAAAAAACAAAAACAAAAAAAAAACACCCAAAGTATAAAATAGTTATTCTCTTATAGGGAAGCTACAATGAATATGTAGCTTTTAATATTTATTGTACACTTAAACTTAAAACAACTTCTCTTTTTCTTTTTCTTTTTTTTTTTTTTT